TGGTACTGTACTAAACCAATGACTCTCTCTCTCTCTCCTCTCTCTCTCTCTCTCTCTCTCTCTCTCTCTCTCTCTCATCCACACACACACACACACACACACACCCATTCAATTTGGTATACACACACAACACTTAACCACAATACATAATAAACAGATGAATCCCCTATCAGTTTAAGGCACCACTAAGCACACAAGGCCCCCCCCCCTTAACACCTTTATAAACAAAAACGAACAACTTTATCACCCTGAGCACCATGAAGTCTTTACAGGCCTCTAGCTTTAATGTGGTGATGGATTTTCGATTCCATGACGACTGACACCATCCCACACTGTATTCATTCCTGTAAACGTGTTAAAAATATGTTCATCATCTTTTTCTTCTTATTATTATTAATTTTTTTTTTGGGTATTGTTGTATTAGTGGCCAGAGGCTGTATTTGGGCCATGTAATCAGGGCGCTGTATCCTAAGGCCATGTAATTAGAGAGCTGTATTTGGGCCATGTAATTAGAGAGCTGTATTTGGGCCATGTGATCAGAGAGCTGTATCCTAGGACCATGTGATAAGAGAACTGTAATTAGACCATTTAACTAGAGCCATATCTTAGGGCCATGTATTCAGAGCTTACCCTTCCCTCGTACCTGACCCCTTTCACCGTCCGTCAAGGCTGGCCAACTCCTGCACCGTCAGGCATGAATCAGAAAGAGGAACCACTCAAAGAACATTCCTGCAGAAGTTTCACCAAAAGCGACCCAATAGTTCAAGAGAACTCGAAATGTGAAAGATTACGGACCGGAGTGACACAGGACGACCATACATGAGGGGGGGGACGAAAACACCTGCACACACACACACACACACACACACACACACACACCCCTTGCCCTTGCCCCTTACTTACGTCACCATCCCAACCCGGACGGATAACGTGATTAGATAACATCCAGATATTTTTTTCTTTCCATTTTATTTTAACCTTTTATCTTGTTTTTTTATCTCTCTAGTCAGCGTCAAATGTAAATACTGAAAATAACACACACACACACTTATATTCTCTCTCAATCACACCAATAAAAATAAACAAACACATACAATTGATTAAAAACACACACAGATACACATAACGTAGACACACAATACATACACACAAAGCACACAAACACACAATTACAACAACACACAAACACAGACATACAATGCATATATACACACAAATACACACACTCAAACACGTAGAAACACACATACAACAATACACACACGCCACCAAGCCACTAAGGGGCATACATCATGACGATTGTTCTCTTAGCGGTGGCATTAAAGGGCAGTAGGTAGCATTATGAGCCAGGAGTGTGTGTGTGTGTGTGTGTGTGTGTGTGTGTGTGTGTGTGTGTGTGTGTTACCCAGGACTGTACACCCTTGCCTAAAGCTGCAACAACTGTGTCTCCTTCTACCCCCACCCCTCCCCCCTCCCTCCCTCACCACCTCCTCCTCTGTTGTTGACACTGTACTGATATTGTTGCTAACGTTTGCTACTGTTATTTTTATTGGTGTTATTGTTGTTAGTGTTATTATTATTGTTTTTGTTGTTATTAGTGTTTGATTAAGAACTACACGTATATTATGATGACTTGATATAAACCCTCTAGATGAAACCACCCAATATATGAACCCTCAAGATGACCCCCCCCCAAAAAACGAATCCCCCCCGAAACGAATCCTCAAAATGAACCTCTAAAAACGAACCCTCAAGATACCTCCCCAAAAATCCCGAACCCTCAAGATAACCCCCAAAACAAACCCTAGAAATGAAAGCCTCACAAAACCGAATCTTCAAGATGAATCCCTAAGGTAAGATCGAAAAACGAGGAGACAATGAGAGAAATCCCGGACACCAGACCCATGGACGTGAGCAGCGGCGGTCATAAAGTGCATTCCAGCAGCCGGTGTGTGTGTGTGGACAGGTGGGGAAACTAGGTTGGCTTTTGAACATGTTGGATGAGAGATGTGACGCACCACAATGTTGTTAGAGCCACACCATGGATACTAAGCTATCCTCACATCCTACCCCATCCCCCTTCCCCCCCCCCCTCCAATAGCCCAACACCCTGTAACACCCTGCAATACCCCCGAAACACCCTGATAGACCCTGCAACACTCTGTAACACCCTACTGACTTTGCCCAACGCCCTCTGAGGAGACAAATGGTGGTTGTAGCGTATAAACGAGGCAGATATTAGCCTTTTAAAATGATGCACCAAATTATTGTTTCTTCGTGACACACACACACACACACACACACACACACACACACACACACACACACACACACACACACACACACACACACACACACACACCAACAGATACCTGACTGGAAGCACAGCTATCACCCCCCCAAGGCAACGGTCAATAAACTTATCTGGGAATCTTCATCACATTAACTGCAGGAGTCTAGGAAAAACTCACTTGGGGGACATGTCACCTTCTACAGGAGACAGATGGATGAATACCTTAAACTTCTACAGGAGAGACAAACAGACAGATACCTTAACCCCCTTCCCACTCCCATTCACTCACTCACTCCCCCACTATTTACTTCACTCACAACTCACTTACTCCCCCTCTCACTATTCACTCCACTCCATCTCTCACTACTCTCTCTACTCCATCTCTCATTCACTCACTCACTTATTCACTCCACTCACTCATTCCTTCACTATTTACTTCACTCACTCACTCCTTTCCTTCCTTCCTTCCTTCCTTCCTTCCTCCCTCCCTCACTTCACTCACTCCTTCCCTCTCTCCCTCCCACCCTCACTCACTCACTCACTCACTCACCCCCTCCCTCACCCCACTCCATCTCTCACTCAACTCACTCACGCACTCACTCACTCATTCAGGGACAAAATTTGATTCTATTCATCGTTCCAATAAATCGCCTCAAGACTCAAGCGATGGTTTGTGAGGCGAGGCCATTCACTGAGGTGTGTTGGCATCCAGTGGAGAGGCGACACGGGAGACGACACGGGAGACGACACGGGCTACAGGAGACGACACGGGAGGCGACACGGGAGACGACACGGGCTACAGGAGGTGACACGGGCACACAGCAGACGACACGGGCTACAGGAGGCGACACGGGAGAGAACACGGGCTACAGGAGGTGACAGGGGAGACAGACACACAGCAGGGAGGTGACACGGGGCAGGAGACGACACACGTGGGAGACGACACGGGCTACAGGAGGCGAGACACACACGGGAGACAACACGGGCTACAGGAGGTGACACGGGCTACAGGAAACCACACGGGAGACGACACGGCTGGCAGGAGGTGACACGGGCTACAGGAGACGACACGGGCTACAGGAGGACACGGAGACGACACGGGCTACAGGAGGACACGGGAGACGACACGGCCACAGGAGGTGACACACGGGAGACGACACGGGCCACAGGAGGTGACACGAGACGACACGGGCCACAGGAGGCATGAGGCGACACGGCTACAGGAGGTGACACGAGACGACACGAATACAGGAGGTACACGGGCTGCAGGAAACGACACGGAGACGACACGGGCTACAGGAGGCGACACGGAGACGACACGGGCCACAGGAGAGGTGACACGGGTTAAATTGCAAATGCGGAATCAGTCACGTCGGCCCCTGGTGCACACAAACACTGAGGGAGGTTAAAGATAGTCACACACACACACACACACACACACACACACACACACACACACACACACACTATAAATCCTCTTATAAACGTTTGCGTAAAATGAGGAGCAACAAAGCAACAACAATAACAAAAACGACAACAAAAAAACCGACTAAAAAAAACACACGCGAACAGAAATATCCTTCAAGCATTTTTACCACGAAGGAAAAAATAAACTGACTTTTTTCCTCCTGGGAACTGGGGAGAAAAGTGGGAGGAATATCGAGGCAGAATTATTGAAGTGGCAAGTGCGTGATGAAGTGGTGAGTACTTGATGAATGCGGCGAGTGCGTGAAGCGGCGAGTGAATGATGAATGCGGCGAGTGCGTGATGAAGCGGCAAGTTCGTGATGAATGCGGCGGAGTACGTGATGAAGCGGCAGTTCGTGATGAATGCGGCGAGTACGTGAAGCGGCGAGTGATGGTGACGGCAGTGAATGATGAAGCGGCGAGTGCGTGAAGCGGCAGTGAATGATGAAGCGGCGAGTGCGTGAAGCGGCAGTGAATGATGAATGCGGCGAGTGCGTGATGAGCGGCGAGTGAATGACCGTAATGGCTGAGCCAGTAATCATCCACCCAGCAGCACGCTTAATAACACCCAGCACCCAATAACACCCAGCACCCAGTAACACCAGCACCCAATAACACTCAACCCAATAACTTACAGCACCCAGTAACACTCAGCAGTCCTCAGTTACCCAGTAACCCAGCACTCAGTAACACCCAACACCCAGTAACACCCGGCACCCAGTAACATTCAACACCCAGTAACACCCAGCAACCCAGCACTCAGTAACACCCAACACCCAGTAACATCCAACACCCAGTAACACCCGGCACCCAGTAACACCCGGCACCCAGTAACCCAGCACTCAGTAACACCCAACACCCAGTAACACCCGGCACCCAGTAACATTCAACACCCAGTAACACCCAGCAACCCAGCACTCAGTAACACCCAACACCCAGTAACATCCAACACCCAGTAACACCCAGCAACACCTATTGATCAGCAGTATCCATCACACAGGAACACTCAGAACCAGATGTAACGTCACCCAGCACCATCCATCACCCGGCAACACCTGTCACCCATTACCTAGCAACACCCGTCACCCATTACCTAGCAACACCCGTCACCCATTACCTAGCAACACCCAGAACCAGATGTATCGTCACTCGGCAACACTTCCGAGGTAGAGGGGTGTAAATCTGTTTCCTGGGATGCTGTAATACACTGCCTATAACACTATTTGACGGCTGGTACTCACGTGTGGTCAGGTGTAGACGATGGGCGGCGTCTCGGGGCGGTGCAGCAGGAGGCGGCACCCGGGGCGTCTCCAGTTACTGTGTCACGGGTACTCACGCCACCGACACACTTACTGGCGGCAACATGTGCGTACGGTACGTGTGTGTGTATGTGCCGGTCTAGGGTGCCACCATCAATCTCCAGGAAGCAACAGGGTTGAGACACGAGTGAGGACAGAGAATGTGACCTGGGCTGGATGAAGCTTGTGTAGGGTGGGTCAGCAGGTGCACCGTATAACGGCCAAGGTCACCGGTGGTCAGGTCACACCGCAGGCAGACGGACAAGGGTGCGGGTGACGTGCGCAAAAGTGAGCGCGAGTAAGCGTGAGGCAGAGACGCAAGCGGCACGTGTTGCCTCGCCAGATGCTGGCCCAGAACTGAGGCAGTGGAGGCACACGGCACAGGCAACCAGACTCACCCACCTCACCTCGACCCGGCCCGTGGCACCACCACCGGCCCAGGACCCGCACACCAAGCAGCCGCCCGCAGTCACGCCCATTACCTCCTCCTGTTCTGTTGATCACATCACTTCCCCCAGGCCCACATTACCTCATGGATGCCACCAGTCCATCACTCTCTCCCTACCCATGTCACGGCTGACACTCCTATACCACCACTCCGCTCACACGAGCTGGTCCCTACCTGCAAAACGCCACTTGCTCAGATTGGTCCCTTACCGAAAGTGACAACAATTGTAAGTGTTTCCAGGAAATATCAAATTGTGTTGTGGTTTGTCCCGCCACAATGGTGTAACACATAAGAGCCCGGGGAAGAAAGTATTGTCAAAACGCTGTCACTGATATTACGTGTTCCACCCAAAACGGTCCAGGCTTTTGATGTTGGTCGAGGAGTAGGAGAGCGTCTCCCCCCGCCTGTCTTGATAATGTTTTGTAGTTTATATACATTAGAGAGCCACACAGACCCCGAGACTCACTCCCATGTAACTAAATAACAAAGTTCCTCGTTGGGGGCAGAAACTTCCTGTGGGAATTGGCCATGACGAAGACTGTTGATGGTAAAAGTTCAGCGGCGTCCATAAGTTAAGCAAGCGATTCGTTCCAGCCTCTCCTTTATGTCTTCATGCATGGCTGGGAGGAGAGGGGGCGCTGGTGGTCAAAGGGGAGATCAACAATTCTTAAATTTACTGTGACGTCTTGAATTGGTGGAAATATTTCCCTCGGGAAAATAAAATATAATTTCATTTTTTCTACCATGGCGGGGACAGGTGGTGACTCATAAACCGCACTGACATATTGATGGTTCTCTATGTTTTACACACACACACACACACACGAGGTTATCACAGGGCGTCCACAATGCCCAGCTAACGCATTCAATATTTTGTTCTTGTTGATCGTTCGTCATTTGAGTTTCAAGTCACTAAAGATAGAAGCTTGAGTAAAGATAGCGCTTACACAGGAGAAAACCCCGGACATGTCTGGTGTGAAGAGTTGGAACCATTCATTATTTCTCAGCAGGACTGGAGTTTGGCTGTGCATAACTTCCTTGACGAGAACTTTCCTGGCAGCTGGATTGGACGTGATGAGCCAGTCCCCCTCACACACACACACACACAAACAAGGTCTCTCGAGATAACGCCCTTTGACTTCATCTCTTCTAGGTTTATTACAAAATTTTTAAACCTTATATAAATATGTCTTAATTCTTGGTCGGAGATAAAACACTCCCTCTTCTGCTTACACAACAACAATAATACCAAGTCAATTAATACAAAATAATAATAATTCTTGTTCGTTGTCATACAGGACATCCCATCATTCTTATTCAATGTGGTGGATTTTTTTATTAAATAACTTCAACAACTGATGTACCGGTGTGTGGTGTGTTAAGGAATTAAATTAGGTAAAATTATTGTAGGAACGAATAAGTGTTTTGGATGGACGAAGAGGTAGAAGAAAGGAAGAACACGAATAGAAGAGAAGGAAGGAAGGGAGACAGACAGAACTACCGACGGAGCCCTCTAGTTACATTATCCTCCTGCCGCTCCCCGTCTGCGTATCCTTCATAACTGGTGGGGAGGAGCGCTATGGCTGTATCCCACCACTAACAGCCCCCCCTCCCTACCATCAGTTGCTGCCACCACATACTGTACTGGCACCCCTGGACACTACCGATTCACCGCACTCTTAATGTTTCTTGGATCTAGGTTACCAGGCGCATGATGTGTGTGTGTGTGTGTGTGTGTGTGTGTTCTTGCTAACAACTTAAACGAAACCTGGTCCCATAAGCGAGTTAGTTTTTTCCCCTGCAACACGAGAGACGCTCGCCTATTGGTCCTCCAGGGAAGGTACACGTCTATGTTTACTTGTAACCCACCAGTGAGGTGCTGACGCCTCACTGTAATGGTGGCGTTAACAAGACATGACTAAATAACGAACATCATCCACAATTCAACGGCTGTGACCTTTTGATAATTGCAAAGGCTGAGTGTGGGGCTTCGTTAACGGCTTCTGCCACGAAGATTTGAAGATCACAAGTCTCTACTGATGAATGTTTAACCTGATGTATTAATGTATCCTTATCGGCTTTCAACTATGTATGTCTTGTAAAAAAAAAAGCCCAAACTGGTATCGAAAAAATAATAATAAAAAATTAATAAATAAATAATTAAATAAAAAATGGATCTAGGTCATAAAAAACTTTGAAATGGCTTAAGTTAAAATAAAATAGATACTTATAATGCCATCAACATATTCTGAGGCGGATCATTAAAACATTTCAAGTGTCAGTTTCCTTGGGGGGGGGGGGCCGTTCCCTCCTGAAGGAAATGACGAGCGCTGCCTAGATTACTAATACGTGTATATATTAAGCACCAGCCACTCTCTCTACGTGCCTGATGACGTCTCTACAGGATCACTATATCAACATTAGGATATATTATTGTGTTCTTGGCTATAGGGGACACATTCTGTACGGTATATGACACACGACCTATGAATCACCCTGTACATTATGATGCACGGCTTTATGAGACATCCTGTACAGTATGATACCGCACGACTTATGAATCACTCTGTATGACGCACGGCTTATGAATCATCCTGTACAGAATAAGACACACGACTTACGAGACACCCTGTAGAGTATGATACCGAACGACTTATGAAACACCCTGTATGACGCACGAATTACGAGACATCCTGTACAGTATGATGACGCCCGACTTATGAGACACCCTGTACAGTATGATGCTACACGACTTATGAAACACCCTGTACCAAAATTACTACCACGAACCAACCAGGCGAATGTGGGAACAGGTCGTTTAATACACGGGAATTACTCGGGTGGGTGGGTGGGTCCAGTGAGAGTCTGGGTGGGAGGGTGGGTGGGTGTCGCAGAAGCCTTGGATGGATGGATGGATGGATGGATGGATGGATGGATGGGTGGGTGGGTGGGTGGGCGTCCCGGGATGATGAGCCAGGGAGGGTAATGAGAAAATATTGCCCCCTGAATGATGCTCGTTGGCCGTCAGCCTCTGAGACTCGGCAGCTGGAGAAGGCGATTGAAGACCTGTTTTAAAGTGAGGGTTTGACGTAGTGTATTTATCATTTTATCATCATCATCATCGTTATCATCTCATCATCGTTATCATCATCATCGTTATCATCATCATCGTTATCATCATCGTTATCATCATCATCGTTATCATCATCATCATCGTTATCATCATCATCACTAGTTATCATCATCGTCGTCAGTCGTTATCATCAATCATCGTTATCATTTTATCATCATCATCATCGTTATCATCTCATCATCGTTATCATCATCATCGTTATCATCATCATCGTTATCATCATCGTTATCATCATCATCGTTATCATCATCATCATCGTTATCATCATCATCACTAGTTATCAACACCAAGACGCTGACGTAAAACTCTTGATCTGAAAATAGACTCGAACCCGGATGTGAAAGCCAACAAAAACATCCCTATTCCCTACACCCTCACTACCACCACACTACACCCCTACCACCACACTACACACCCCACCAACACCACACTACACACCTCACCACCATCACACTACACACTCTCAGCACCACACTACACACCCCACCACCAGCACCACACTACACCCCTACTACCAACACTACACTAAAGTTGTTCCTTAACTTTAACTAACAACATCCTCCCTAACAATACACACATTGATAAAGACACTATGGAATTTCTTTAGTAAATAATATTATCACTTCCTAATGATAACAAACGATAAATATATATCAACTACTGTATTTACGTCGTGTGTGTATGTTTATATGTCTGACCACACCATCCACATCAACCATACCACACGCACAGTACCCACACTCCATCCACACAGTACCCGCACCACCCACTCCATCCAGACGACTCGGGGTGAAAATGGCACAGTCAACACTACCCACCTGAGGAGCTCCCTTTGTCACCGCCAGACGCGCCCCCTGATGGCTATCTCTGCCCAGCCTGGCGACCACCACCACCACCACACTTCCTTCCTCTTCCTCCCCCTCCTCCTCCCTCTTCTCGCTAAACAGACTGATAACAAACTTGACGATATTTCAACAGGAAGAAGTAGAGGAGGGAAAATGACAACAGAGGGACGTACACCAGTAAATAAAAATGTGTGTGTGTGTGTGATATCCCTCCACCTTGACCGTGTCCCGTGTGACCTCATTCCCCAAAACATGCCTCAGTCAGTGGAACATATATATATATTTATTTTTTAAGTCAGTTTAAAGAGCTACTTAAGATGCAACACAAAATAGGTGGGAAGGAAACGTCTGGCAACAAGATCTAACCCCCTCCCCCTCCTCCCCCTCATCAACTTAACCTTTACCCCATTACCCTAAAAGTGGATCAGAGAAACACTATTACGGAAACTCAAGCACCTCACACAGCCGGTACTGAGTGAGTGGATACAGACGAAACAACGCTTGGTCTGGCGATAAATATAACACGGTCAGTTGGACACTCATAAAACGAACACTATGGCTATATTAGATTACGTATATTATTGTGATATATATAGTAAGCTTGAGTTTATACCGTTACTTTATAAATATTAAAAATTGTAACTGGTAAAAACACATTAAGCTCCTACTTACGAGGGAAAGTTAGTTATTATCAGCCTATCGTAGAAACTGACAGAACTAAGTTGACTTGATTATTTACATTAATAATAAGATATCAAAGGTCAGCTGTAATCAGTAATACGTTAAAATGATCAGTAGAGGAAGCCAACTTTTGTCCTTATTACCCTCAACCACGGCCACAACCATATAGTGGCACTCACGTTTAATCCCATAGTGCCAGTCACGTTTAATCCCATAGTGCCAGTCACGTTTAATCCCATAGTGCCAGTCACGTTTAATCCCATAGTGCCAGTCACGTTTAATCCCATAGTGCCAGTCACGTTTAAAACCATGTAGTGCCATTCAGCTTCCAATACCACCTAGGCACTTGCCACCCATATTCAATGCCATCTAGTGCCACCCACGTTCATGGTTTAGGTATATACTACTATATTAATATTTACTAGTGGTTTATTCACCTTACACACTGTATATTAAGATCCAATGGCGTAAAAATCCAATCCTTTGCTGCTATTATCATCATTATTATTACATCACCAATTATTTCGTTGAGATTATTTTACTACAATTATGATCATCGTTATATTAATCATCATTACCACACTAATTAATGTTATCATTACATGTGACCGCCACGCCCGTCCTCACAACAGCATTACAGGTGTCAGGTGTGTGTGTGTAAACAAAGGGAACGGGCCAATTAGTGGATGGGAAACACAGGTGGGGTGAGAGTACCTTGCCAGGGCCAGTGTCAACATCCTACTAGTGCCTCACAAACATTCCCCCCCAAAA